GAAATTTCCAAACCCTTCCCTTTACATTCTTGCAAGTTGCATGCTTTACTTTCCGCTGCTCATATACTCTTTGCATGCTTACTTGAATTGTGTGAAGATTGCTTGACTTGTGCTAAGATAGCTAAAATCTGCCAAAGACTAAAATTGGGAAAAGGTTAAGTTTTTAATTGGTCAAGTAGTCTAGTCACCCCCCCTCTAGACATACTTCAAGATCCTATACATGCAAATATGCACACAAGCAAACCTAAGAGCTGTAGCACGTGAATTATATTATGCTCCGTGAATTTTACAGTTTTTTTGGGAAAGACTATCATAGCTAGCTTTATTAACTCAACAAAACGTTTACATCATTGGCTAATTTACCAAGGAGGAAACTAGGGGATCGCTATCTCAAATACTAGAAAGTTTATTATGGAAACTAAATTGAGCTAGCTCATGAGCAACACTATTAGCCTCTTTAAAACAGTGCATAAAATTGACCCTCCCTATATTCGTAGCCAAGTCCAAGATTTTCGCATATATTGCTGCTGCAGCATCCCACCAATGATCATGTTCAGTGCAAAAATTGATTACCTCCAAAGAATCTGATTGCGTTTCAATAGCATGAAATCCCATGATGTTAGCAAAGGCTAGACCACCCCTCATTGCCACAGCTTCGGATGTAACAACATTAGCAGCTATAGGGTAGTATGTGCATGACGCAGCAATGAAATTACCCCCGGTGTCGCGTAATATAGCCACTGAAGCTCCAACTCCTTCGTCCGCATGATAAGCAACATCTACATTCAGCTTCGCAAAACGTAGTTCAGGCTTGGTCCATCTCTTCTCCACGTCCGGCAACAAAGAAACTTTTCGTGTGCCATTTGCAGCAATCGAAATAATAGATACAATACACTTTCCCGCTGGTGGTCAGTGGCGGAGCTTGGCCCAGAAAGCTGGGCGGGCCGACTATAGGAAATGAATACTGGGATTGTGTTTCATGGGCCAAAACGAAGTATACATTACAGAAAATTCACATGGGCTGGGCGGGTCGCGCCCCATTCGGCCTTACCGTAGCTCCGCCTCTGCTGGTGGTACCCTTTCTCTATTAGTGATTTGCCTTCTAACCCACCAAATGTACCAACCTGCAGTAGCAATTGCTTCCCGATCCCAACATTAGAAGCATGCGGTAGTGAACCTGAAGTGGACATCAATAGATATTCCAAAATGGCCGAACCTGATCGGTCAATCACTAGTGCATCAACTATCAGATTGTATATACCCAATCTTTGCCATATCTCAATGGCTGGTTTACATAGAAACAGAAGATGGCGGATATCTTCGGCTCCTCGCCGACAGACCGGACACTCGCCGGATGTTGGGATATGTATGTTCGCTAGGATTGATCGGACTAGGACCACTCCATGCAAACTTCTCCAGCAAAATATTTGTACTTTCCGTGGGACCTCAAGCTGCCAAATCTTGTTTCAAATCGGATTGTCAACTGATGGACCAGGACCAGTTCAATTGCCTCTGAATTTATGTGCCCATCTGTGCATTTTCATGCTTCAAACATACATGCGCAATATTTTCCAAAATTACAAAAGGGCATTTCATAAAAACTGTCCAAATAGTAAATTTCTGGTGTAATAGGTGTTCGAGTTCTTTTTTTTTCAATTTGGCAACACCCTGACTATATGACCCATTCAACACGCGCCCCCACGTCGGCGGTCTTCTCCTCTTTGCACATGCGCATGCACATGAAACATGCATGCATGTTCTACCTACAACATACACGGTACTTATATATAATTTCCAGCTGTAATTTCGAGATTAATTTATCTAGAGCTACCTTTCATATATTCCACTTGTACGTCGTAGATATATTCAACTACTCTACCAATTTTAAATTGGAGTATACATACACTACACTGGAAAAGTCCGAACTGGAAGGTGCAATAGAGTACGCCATCGCTCTCTCGTTTACGTCTTCTAGGCTCCTAGCAGACATGCATGCATATACGGCAGTGGTTGCCATGGCGTGTGCGAACCAGCGCAAAGTGCAGCTGAAAGCGACACGGTGTGGCGTGTGCGAACCAAACTCCATCGCCGGTGGTTGCCATGGCGGCATCGATCTCGATCGGCATTGTACTTTGTAGCTACTGCCGTTTGGTTGTTCCTAACACGGGGAGCAAATTAGTAGTCCTAACACGGGATTAATCAATGAGATCAGCGTATATATAAATTGTGGGGAAGCCTTTTCCAGATAGCTGTAGGACAGCAAGCTTTTTGGATCGGTATGATTGGTGAGAGGAAGACAAGTCGTAGGAGAGATAGACGATGATCGATCAGGGACAACGACGATGATTGATTAGGTTGGGGATCGGTGTCATGTCATAGGAATCATGGGCTTAATGAGTTTCTTTTATGTCGCTAAGGATACGACCGAGCCATGAGGCTGGTTGTAATGGGGAGTATCATATACTAGTATCATGCATATGATACTAGTGTATGATACTACCTCTCTAATGCATAGTATCATATATTAGTATCATATAGTACTTTATTTATTGTCATGCATGACACAAAGTAGCATAGCATTTAATATGATACGGTATCATGATATGATACTACACCCTCTCTTTCTTCATTTAATGCTATGACACATCATCAAAATTGCCTAGTTGGTATGCATGACACTAGCTATGATACTACCATTACGACCAGCCTGATGATGTCCAGTACGTCATTCGGACCACATTTCAGGTTCGTGCGTGTCCACTATGCATGTACACGCATCCAGTTCCAATTTCCAAGCACCGGCACTGAACAAGCACGCCCGCATCCGTCCCGTCAGTTTCCATCCAAGGATGCTGGGGCAGTGACCTGACAAGAGTAGGTAGGTAGCGCCCATCGTGGCTAATTTCTTTTTTTATTAATTTACAGAAATAATATTATGAATTTTTGGGAAATTGATACTCCCTCCTTCCATCTATATAGGGCATAATGCATTTTTCGAGGCTAATTTTAACCAAATGTTAAAGCAATAATATATGATTCAATTTACACAAAGCATACCATCAAATTCGTATATGAAAGGAGCTTTCAATGATATAATTTTCACATTACACGTCTCATGTACTATTAATCTTGTCAACAGTCAAGGGCAGTCCTAAAAAACGTATTAGGCCCTATATAGATGAAAGGAGTGAGTCAAATAATACGGGCTCGGTGTTGCCGACGCCGATAGAAACATGTCTGCTATACTCGCACAAAAAACCCGTCGGCTACAGCGAAGCCGACCAGGTCTCATCAGGTCTCTCCGGGTTTGTTTTCAGAGAAGGAGACACAGCAAGTTCGTGCCTAGATGATGAACCTCCATGCCACAGCCATGACGGGACAACAGCAGACGCCGGTGATCATCGAGCAGATGCCGCTGCCTTCACTGTGCGCAGGGGCGGATCTAGTGGGGGTGCTGTGGGTGCCATGGTACCCCTTCAAAATTATAAAATAAATTTTACTATATGCATAACACTAAATATTTGTTAAGTTGTTGCTAGTTTAAGACTATTGTTGAGATAATTATGACGTTTAGTGTAAACTTTGAACTATGGCACACCCCAAGCCTGTTATTCTAGGTCCGCCATAGGCTGTGCGGCTTCTCCGACCGCCGCGCCAACGTCTACGGCTTCATCGGCGACATCCGCTTGGACGCCAACACATCCTCTTACATTGTCTTCCCCGACCCCGCGGTAGCGGGGCAGCCGCCGACGTGCTGGTGGGCGTGCACGGCGCCGGGCTGACGAACATGATGTTCCTGCGACCCGGGGCGACCTGCTGCAGGCGGTGCCGTGGGCCGGGCTCCAATGGATCGCGCACATAGATTGGCTTGGAGAAGAGCTCGCTCAAGGACAAGTACCCCAGGGACCACGAGATCTTCACCAACCCGACGGCGCTCCACCGTACAACAAAGGATTCGGGTTCATGCGGCAGACGCTCATGGACGGCCAGGATTAACATCACCGTTGACCTCGGCCGCTTCCTAGCCGTGCTCCAAGAGGCCATCGGCAACTGCCTCGTGCAGTAGATCGATAGAGATACTAGTATGAACATACAGTAGTCCAGTACAATGTATGTACGGATGTACCCACAGTTGTACACATACATACTTCAATTCTTTTGTTCATTTGTTTCTCTCAAGAACATTGATTGTTGAGATCTTCGATCATTTTCTAGCTAGAGCAGTTCAAGCACCGATTTGTAATTGAGCCATTGGTCACCAATGTATTTTTTTTTTTTTTTTGCGACCTAGTACGACACTGTAATTTGGCTACACACAATGTGATCAGGGAGTTACCCAAAACGACGTACTCCCTCTGTAAACTAATATAATATTAAAAGTGTTTAGTGTATGCTCGATCGCTGCAGAGCTTCAACATGTTTGTGCCACCCCTGTCTACTGCAACAAACTATATAAAACTAGTTCCTGATAGATACTCTTTGCCGTCCTAGCTAGTGCTTGACTTTTCCCCTGCGGTTGGCTCACACGTTCCGATCTCGCACATTCTACCACGCTATCATCTCCTTAATTAATTTCAGACGGTAGCTAGCCCGTTGCTCCTCCATAAAAAATACTGCCAGCACAGTACATACTCGCTGGACTGTCACGGAGTACTTTTGCATCTACAGAACAAGTGCTATAGATAGATCTCATAACACAAGTGTTTGGTCTGGAGAGCTGATCGATTCTTTTTTTTTTTTAGAGCGATCATGGGACGGTGCCATGCTTTGCGATCTTGTGCACGCTCAGGATAAATATCTCAGAGCTAGTGAGAGCTGATCGATTCTGAAAGGTCATATACATACACGCACCAACAGTGAAAGATTCGGGAGTTAGCTGGAAAAAGATACTCCGTACCTTTCTAGCTCACCTTTCGGGTATTTTCAAGACAGATGGGGGATATTTCTACAGATACTCACTCTCCACACGTACACAATGACACAAGTAAGTAATCTCCAGTTTACATGGACATATATGGATCAAACTCGTGCGGACCTATTTGTTTCTGGCCATCCTCAAGCAAGTCGTACTTCCAGCTATCGTATCCGTCGACGCTGTCCCGGCACTCCCGACCCTCGGCCGCGGCGCGTCGGCGCTTCGCCACCCGGTCGATGACCCGTTCCACTGCGATGTCGAACGCGTCCTTGAACTTGACGCCCTTTGCCGCCGGCTCCCTGTACATCACGGCCGGTATGAGCCGGATGACCTCCTCCCGCAAATGAGCCACCTTCGCCGGCGGTATCTTGCTCAGCACCTCCTCGATACTCGCGTTCCGGCCGATCACGTCGCTCTGGGGGATGAACACCGAGTAGGTCCTGTAGTCCCTGGGCAGGTACCACGTGTACTGGACGTACGCCGAGATCGGGTGGAGGAAGACCGGGATGCAGCCGGCGAGGATGGTGTCGAAGATGGACTTGCGCGTGTACGAGTCTCCGCGCGGCTGTATGCAGAACTCGGCGCTCTCCAGCAGCCGCATGGCATGGCTCGGCGAGTACTCCCCCTGGGTGTACTCCCCCGGGCTCTTGGTCACTGCTTCTTTGCCGAGCAAGGCGCAGCGGCTCGACCTGCCGCACTGCTCGATGATCTGGTTGCGCCCGGTCTTCCTGCTCTCATGGCGGGACCCGCCGGCGAAGCACCATAGCCGCCGACGCTCCAGCCCGCGCATGCGGCTCTGCCAGGCCACGACCTGGGCGTCGGAGGAAGGGTGGAAGTGCGACGGGTACGGCACGCCGAAGTCGTTGCCCTGCCACGGGCTGGCCTCGAAGGCGAGCACCGTCATGTTGCGGATGGCCGGGTAGGTCATGAGGGAGTTGCCATATCCGCCATGGTTGGGGTCGCAGAGGAGGTCCCATGTGGGCCGGCTGGCTACCATGAAGTGGTCGCGGCCCCCCATGGCGCGCCACTCGGGCCGCCGCACCAGCCAGTCCGCCATGTCCCGCGGCAGCGCGTTCCGCGCCGAAATGTCGCTGTTGTCGATGCACATCGCCAGGTCGAACTCGGCGTAGAACGGGACGTAGACCACGGCGGCGGCGGCGGGGTCGGACGTGAGGCACTCGTACTGCCTCATCCGGGCGTGGAAGATCAATTCCAGCATGTACTGGTCGGTGGCGTAGGCTCCGCTCTCGGGGAGCGAGCCGCCGCCGCCGTCGGTGATCGGCGCGCCGAACCCGTCGTTGACGACGTGTCTGCACATGTCGGTGGACGCCGAGAGCCTGCGGCAGTCGCGGGCGAGGTCGGCGTTGAACCGGGGCGGCAGGTCGTACATGTACACGTACCGGCCGGCGCACGACGGGTCCGGACGGCCAGAGCGGGACGAGAAGAAGGCCGGCGGCTTGCTGAGAGCATCGCCGGATTGGGATTGCAAGCTGGTGGAGTAGAATATGAGGGCCCAAAGGACGACGGAGAGGAGCGCCGCGACGTAGAATGTCCGGGCGCATCTCTCCGTGCTCCACGAGAAGGGCTTCATCGCTAGCTACTGCTGGTGGGTGATGCTGAGGCGATCTGGAAACTGACGACAAGAAGCAAGCGGGGCAGCTAATTTGTACTCCCTCAGTCCCAAAATTCTTGTCTTAGATTTGTCTAAATACGAATGTATCAAGTCACGTTTTAGTATTAGGTACATCCGTATCTAGACAAATCTAAGACAAAAATTTTGGGACGGAGGGAGTACTGTATATTGAACAAGGTCAAACCGAGGAGTATTAGAGCATCTCTCTCCTATATAGAGTACTCGGCCACCACCACCAGGACATCAGTTGGACAGATCATCAAAGCATGATTAATCAAAGCTTAAATATATACTAGGCCATCTAGGGAATCCTTCCTGCTTACTTGCTGATGGACAATCTCTTGATTTATTGGGTTGAGATGTTTCCGGCTGTGATTAGGTTAATTAGGTTGATTAAGTTAGTGGCATCCTGTCTAAGTAGTGCTAGTCCATGTTGAAGTTGCAAATTATAAACTTACTCCCTCTGTCCTATCCTGATTAGTATAAATCATTCACGTAGTTCTAGGTCATCGATTTGAGAAAATTAAATATGTGTTATATGTCATGAAAAGTATACCACTAGATTTCTACACGGATATGATTTCTAAATATATATTTTTTGTCACATATAATACATATTTAGATAGTTAAATTATCAATCTATAACTAGGCGAATGACTTATACACCGGGACGGAGGCACTAGTTTTTTGACAAACCAGTCACTGCATCTCCATTAGAGCATCTCCAACGGCCGCACAAAAATTCCATACCCAATAAACGTTATAGCGCGCCACTATAGCACTTTTAATGCGCCGGGACCAACTTTGCTTTAGCAGGCGTCCAAAAACGCGGCCCAAAAAGCAGACAGTACAAATTGTGAAGCGCACGCAATCCGGCACCCAAAATATGCTGCGCGCGATAGCGTTTTTCAGCACACGCCCAAAAACTTTTAGCGCTACAGATTCTGCTGGAACTGTCTGGCGCCCAAAAAACAAGCTTTTAGTGCGCGGAGCTCTTTTTAAACGCCTGTTGGAGATGCTCTTAGGCAAAGCTAAAGTACAAAAGCCAGAACACCAGAACATATTTACTATTAAATGGGAGTTGGTGTCGGTTGCACTTTGACATCAAACATTGCTATGTGGGGATAGTGAAGGAGAGGAGGGGGTGCACATGGTGATCTAGGGGGGAGGGAGCAAAAGATCGTAAAGAAACACTTGTTGCATTTGAGAAAATAGAATAAGTGAATAGCTGATCTATACTATGATTTAAAAAAAAAGTAGAGCATGGTTCATCTTTGAGCTTTGGAAATGAGAAACTATGACCGGTTCTAGCTTTTAACACATATGGTACCCAGTCGACTCCTGAGGCTTGTATGTTATTGGAATATGCTCACTTAATTACCGCACATTTTCTATTGGAAATGTTACTCTTAATTTTTTGACAAATTTGTATACACGAGTGAAATATTCAGTGTTGTGTCCTATTGTAGCTTTTGACTTTATTTGGACTCTCAAAATTCATGTATATTCTTCAGACGGCGTAGAGGTGGAAACTAACATGTTCTCTTATTGCCGCAAAAAGAAGGCGTGAGATGAAAAATGAATCCATTAATGAAATAAGACAATGAGCAATACATTTTACATGTTCGTAGCAAGGCATGGACATTCACCTAGTCTTAACTATTAAATTGGAGTTGGTGGTTCACTTTGCGAGTGAAGTCTGATTTAAACGCTAAGGTTGTAGAGCTCGATCAAAATGAACCTCCACGTTTAAATCCCTGAAGTTTCTACCCTGACATAATGTATCCCGGTTGTTTTCAACCTTAAGGATGTATCCAAATAGAGGATTTGCTATGTGGCGTCTGGAAAGGCCGGGATTGATGAGTCAGATCTGTCAGTCCCACAAAATAAATCCCGGTGCTCGTAGCCATGCTCTCGACGCCACGCTGGCTTTATCCGCTGCAGCTCGTCGGATGTTGGCATGCACAGCGAGGTGGCGGAAGAAAATTCTATGAGACCAAATCTCATGGGTTAGCAGGTGAGATCCATCTTGATAGATGACACGTGGCATTTGCAAATCACAAAGCATCTACCCCACCCCCACCTGAAAGGCGGATGATAGGCGCCGGTGCGCCGGCCCAAACTTTGGGCCGGTCGCACCCCAGTCATACGATGCGAGCTACGGAGCCGTTAGATTCCGCCCGGCGCCCAGCTCACCCCGTGCCCTTGCCCTTCTCCTGCTCGTGCCCGTTGACCAAATCTACAGATGGTCCCCCGCCGCGACACCGCTCCTTGCCGGAGGCAGCGCCGCTCCCCCCTCGACCGGATTAGTCGCTGCACCGCCGGCCCCGGCACCAAAAAGGACTCGTCTCTTGCTCGCCGGCCACCCGTGCCACCTGCACTCATCCCTCGCCCGCCACATGACATTGACGCCTACAGCTCGCCCATCGGTCGGTTCCAGCTCTAGTCGCCATGGTTGCAACATCCCCGAGGCACCGCCGGCGCCTCCGCTCGTCACCGTCGTTCAGTTCGAAGCACCTTGTCCTCGGCAAAAACACAAAACTTCATTAGTTTGCGAGTAGTAGCAAAATCACATGCTGGTTGCAGTAAAAAAAATCATCGAATCCAGCTAAAAAGAACCACCATCGCGTCGACCACTTGCAAAAATTCTTGTGTATCTTCCCAGCAAAAGTTCTTATGGGTTCCAGCATTTTTTTTTGCCGGTTCCAGCAAAACACATCTCGACGTCGTCCCGTTGCATCACCGAGCAATAGAGGTTGCAACCTTTTCTCCGTTCGCTTCCAGCAAAAAAACTATATGGTAGTAGCACCGTACCTCGACGTCTTCACCCCGATAGCTGCTGGTTGCAGCAAAAATAGAAGATGGTTCCAGCATCTCCAGGATCCGGTTCCAGCAAAAAAACTCTTTGGTAGTAGCACCGTACCTCGCCTTCTTCACCCCCTGGCGGTTGCTGATTGCAGCAAAAGTGGACGATGGTTCCAGCTCCAGCTCCAGAGAACACCGCTTCCAGCATATTGTGTGGCCGGTTGCAGCTTTCCTGTCAGTGAGGTCCTGGCCTTGCCGGTTGAAGCTCATCGCTTGAACGGCTCCACCACCACCACCGTCGTCCGGGATGCAGCTCTCACGGAAGGAAATCGAAAGCTAGCCATGGCGACTAGCGCGTTCGGCTGCGGCGACCATGGAGAGGAGCGCTCGAAGCCAGTCATGGTGTTCGCTCGCAGCTGCCGCAAGGTTGCTTGCAGCGGCCAGGACGCGTCGCGCGCCAGCTTTTTGTGCCCCTCCTCGCCTTATTTTGCTGCAGGGAAGAAGGAAGGGGATGGGCAGAGGAGGGGATGGAAGGGAGAGAAGAAACATGACGCTGGGAGGGGTGTGGCTGAAGGTAGGGGATGAAGTGCGAGGGGAAAAGATAAGGCAGGAAGGGGTGGTCTGCCTGGGTCCACCAAATACACGCGTCTCGCGCGGGGGGTGATTGCGGGGCGCACGACGCCAGCGTGGCGTCGCGACCGGCGGAAAGTTCGTACGGTGCGCCGTTCTTTCCCCACCTGAAATCAGGGGAGGAGATTAGATGCTTTGTGATTTATGAATGCCACATATCATACATCAGGGCAGGTCTCACCTGGTTTATATGAGACCTGGTCTTATATAATTTTTTTCCGTCAGCCACACAATTTTTATCCGTATCGACGACAACGTCGAAGAGCACACCCGTTGAGGGCCAATAATCCTACACCTACGTACTCATCTAGGTAAACTTACTTAAACTTCCTAGCCGTTGCGGCACACGAACGTTGAGGAGCACGAGTGTCACGCAGGCCGCCGCGCCGACAGAAACCCGTACCGGTTGACAAGCTGTCACAGGCCCAGCACCGGCAACGCAGCCAGCGCCACCATGGACGGCACCCGCGTGAAGATCGAGCGACACTTACTGTGCGTTGACCGCCGCCATCCACGCCACGTTCGCCGTGCCAATGCCCGTCACGGACCAGAGCGCCACTGTCGCGGTGACGCCGCCATCCGCGCCCGCCGTTGGTTCCCGGCACCCAGCTCCTTGCCCACGTGCATGTACGCATACATGATACACCCAGGAACCACTCCGTTTCAAAAGAAAAAAAATACATCCAGGAACCAGGATGCATGCATGCATGCGTGCTCTTAATGATCAACGTGGCAGTTATTAATTTGGTCAAAGTCAGCATCCCGGTCACGTCGCCAATTCCCCTCCTAACAACGTCTAAAGGTTGAAAACGACCGGGATCAGGACAACTTTCTGGTGCGGTTTTATCCGCGTGGGGCAAAACCTGTCCCAACGGGAATAATCAAATAGACAAGCATGCCTGTTCGCGTCCACTTTTGTCCGGTCCAACCTCAAAACTAGATCAAATTTGTGCCACAAATGCTCTCGAGTGAATAAAAAAGGACGCTCTTGTTCGCTGCTCTCGTCCACCCGTGTCCGCCTGGTCCCACAAAATAGCGACCGAGCACAAACTGGCGAGGCCTCCACGATCAACGCAACCAGGGCCGGCGAGGCCATTGGCGCAGAACGCAGCCACGGGCGCCGGCGAGGCCACCGACACAGGACGCAGCCGTGGGCGCCTGCGAGGCCGCCGCGCGCTCCGCCATGGCCATCGACTCGGTTGAGCGTGGCGGCGGGTGGTGGGCGAGCCGGCAGCAGCAGGAAGCGCGGCGGCCGAGGGCGAGCTAGGCATGGCTCGGGGCAGCGCGTGACGGGGGCGGGCGAGCTCGGGCAGCACGCGGTAACGGCGGCACGAGGCTCTGCACGGGCGAGCTCGGCGTGGCCCGGGCGATCTGCGGGCGCAAACTCGGCGTGGCTCGGGGCTCTGCGAGGGCGAGCTCGGCGCGGCCCGCAACGACGGCGGCTTTGCGTGGGGCATGGCGACGGTAGCTCGTCGCGGCGTACGGTGATTGCGGCTCTGCGCGGGGCGTGGCAACGGTGTGCG